TTACAAGCGGGGTCCGAAGAGGGAGGGCAACATACCGTTGGGCATTGGTCTTGTTGTCGCTACTGCCATCAGATCAGCCCCTTGGGTTTTCAAACCCTAGCGACGGTTTTGTAAATTTTTTTTAAATTTTGGTTTTTCAATTTGAAAATTTAATTTAAAAATTAGGAATTTTCTAGATATATACTTTAAATTATTAATAAAACTATTTTTTAGAAAATTACATTTTTTAATATTGAGAAATATTTTATTAATATTTTCACAAATTCCAAAAAAAATTGTTATTTTCATTTTTTTTTGAGAAGTTTTTCAAAAAATTTAGAAGTTTCTGATGTGGAGCCTACTAGGTTTTATAATTAAGAATTTATGGATTTTTACTAAGAATAATTTTTTAACTTTAGAAGTTTAGAAAATTTATTTTAAATACCAAACTTATTTATAAAATTCCTAAATAAGTATTGAAGACGTGATGGGTAACTATTCTAGTGGGAGAACCCACGGAGTCGTACCAATTTTACGAGAAATAAAATACCCTAATAAAATTGATAAGATTAAGTATAGTAGTTAACAAGTATTGTGAAATTACTTGTTCATGTTTGTCATGCCGCATGTTCAGGTGTATATTAAACTATAAACAAATCATTTCAAGTGGGAGATTGCGGGTAGAATGGTATTATGATTTAACTATCCAATCTAGTCTATCCTTAAGAAATCTAATCTTCTATTTTCAAAAATTTTATAATGATTTTAAAAATTATATCTTTGAACACTGTGATTGGTGCCCTAGGCCTTCTTCTTTCTGTTTGGTATGTGATTTTATTATCGATATAAAAAGTTCGATGAGATGGAATGTTCTTCCAAGAAGAACACTACCCCAAGTAAATGCTGATAATCTTAATGTGTCCCTAAATTTTGAATGTCTTAGTCCTTCTCTTATACTGGTACCAATATAGTATTCCAACTTCAGTCTGGGACTGATGAGTTATAGATACTTCTGTCAAAAAATCAAATTGCTCTCAAGAGCAGGAGATTTTAATAAGTATTGAGGTGGTAATGTCCAAGTCAGAATAAGGCTCAACTCGGATTCAAAGATGTGATACCAATCAGTACAAGGTTTGGATATTGAGAGATTGTTCAAGCAGTTCACTAGGTAGACTGTAATGAGGAGCGATCTTATCAGGGAGTTTGAGGATTATTTGAATGTAAAGAGGTTTGAGGATGCCCTTAATGCAAGATTCAAAATGTCTCTCCGATGAGGATCTGACTTCGTACTGTTATGTTGGATTCAAACAATATGTCTACTAGGAAAAACATCAAATTCACATTTGGATGATAACCTTTATAATCAAGGATAGTGAGATAGCTGAAACTAACTTTGTCGTGCTAGGAGCGATATACCCAGGAGGTTATTAGGGCTTTAGATTACTCTAGGAAAGACATCTATTACTTTTTATTGCACATCATAGATGCGACAACATCCGGGAATGTGCAAATGAAAGCGAAGTTATAGTCTAAACATCAGAGTGTGTTTAAGGCTAACATTTCTACTTCAGCATTGGGAGCTGAATACCTGATTCGCAATGATAGGAGCCTAGCTCCAACAGTTACGCCTAGAGATTTTTAGAATGGATTATGAAATATAAGAAGCCAATTAAAATGGCGAAGACTGCAGACAAGCCGATCATTTTGCACATGAGGGCACACAACTAAGAGAACTCGGGACACATTGACTACATTTGTAGGCCAAAGGTTGTTCGTTGAGTTCAGAAGATGTAAAATATGAGAAGAAAGACCTAGAAGGAGGATATGTAATGGTGTTGGGCACCGATGCATAAGGTTTTCTTCAAATTCAAATAAAAATAGATCTTGTAATCGCCCACTATAGTTGAGGAATCGTCGCTATAAGTGATTTACATAGATTTAATTTTTGAATTCTATGCTTTGAATAGGTCGTTAAGCTAATCTCTTAGTTGATTTCATAATCTCCTAGGCATGTGTACCAAGATGTATTTGTACACGTACGAGTATAGTCTTCTTGGTAAAATTACTAGGAAGTCTTTTGGCAAGGCCAAGAGCGAATCCGTTGCAATCACTACACTCTCATACATGCAGAGTGATATTTATGAAGGTACAAAGTTGAGCACCTTAGTTCTTCATATTAAAAGGCTATTACTCTATTTGCAGTAGTTTGTATCTGATTTTGCAACTAATTGAGAGATTATATTTGTTTCATGTACTAAATCAGTAAGGTGGATAATCAATTAAGCAAAAGTATTAGAGCTTTGCACACTAGTTGCAAGATAGAGTAGCTATCTAGTCAGTTCAAGGAATTGTGTCAAGAAAAGAAAAAAAAAACTCAAATAGCTAAAAAAAATAACCTATATTCTATAATGATATCATGTTAAGAAAGTGAGGAATATGAGTCTGGTAGATGTGGTTTAGAATACTTGGTTATAGGGAGATGCACTAATGATAGTGGCATATATTATGATTTGTGTACCTTCTAGATCAGTATAGTCTATACCCTATGAGTTATGGATAGCTAAGGGCCCATGTTGGATCACCGCTTCCATGTAGATGCATTTCTCATGTACACGCTACTTCTCATTAGTGAGAAGTTAGACCCCAAAGGGAAGAAGTATATGTCTATAAACTAACTCCTGATACTATAAAGGATGCATTTACATGTGAGCACTATGATGAGATTGTGACCGAGGGAGTTGTAGGATATTGAGTTCCTCATGGAGGATTTGCGATACAAAGAAGAAATATGTCAAATTTTGGGTTCATATGAAATTGAGGAGACTATCACAGAGCCAATGATGGAAGAAGATGGTTTCTCTACTGTCTGGGAATATTGGGAGTGAGATACCTTTGGATGTCTCAGAGCCATCTAAGGAATCTCAACTGCCTTGTTGATCGTTCCAATGCACTAGTATCTTGATGATATTTTGAGATTGACGGAGAAATGTTCATCATAGCACTGTGTGTTGCTACGGAGCCCAAGTCAAGAACACTATTTTTGGGTTTATAGCAAAAGAGTGGAAAGCAACAACGGATAGGCAGGAATTTATTAGAAGAAACCAAGTGAAGAGCTTGGTGGATTTTATAAATGAATGCAAGACCATTAAGAACAAACGGATTTTCATAGTCAAGTAAGATGGGACAATAAAGCAGTGAAATGCATGCTTGGTGAAAAGTTATCTTCTTTCATAATGAGAATGGACTATATTTGGCATAATATTGACTATTATAGTAGATATGGATCTTGAACTAGTCTAAACAGATGAAGAGATAGGATTTCTCTATGAGAATTGGAACAAAAGATCTATACGGATCAGCTTGTGTGTTTCAAAGTTAACATCAAACCTCTGACAAAATCCACTTATCAATCCTCGTCAATAGGATGATAAGTCTCCAAAGTTGCTCCAATCGCAACACATTCATGTCACGTTAACAACATACCTCTGACAACCCACTTATCAATCCTCTTCAATAGGATGATAAGTCTCCAAAGTTGCTCCAATCGCAACACACTCTCGTCACGTTAACACTAAACCTCTGACAACCCACTTATCAATCCTCTTCAATAGGATGATAAGTCTACAAAGTTGCTCCAAT